TTATTTAATAAATTTTTTTCCATATAATCGATATATAATCTTTGAAGTAGATTTGTTCTCTAAATCTGTGAATAAATGATAATATTTATATTGATATTTAATATCTTTTACAAAATAAGCTTATTCTTATAATTCTTTGAGACAAAACTCTTTTATCTGAAAATATTTGATTTTCTTATTAGTAATAAGTAAAGATTGAATATCGAATACATTGATAATACCTTTATAAAAGATACAGGAATATTATAATAGAATATTGTTATAGGATTTAATGAGATTTAAATAGGATTTCATTTTTGAACATCGAGAATTTGGGAATAGTTTCATTTTTATAGGTAGAAAGAGTTTCAGCAATAAAGGGATATTAGAAAAGAATTGCTGAGTCAGCTATAATGTTAGGACCTATACTAGGGATAATTTTATCTTTATAGTTTACCACCCTTAGTCGTATAACACTATCATTAATAATATCATACAAGTTGATTGCCACGCTTCCATTTCTCACAATCATAATACATTGACAAGGGCTAAAACCTTAATGGAGAACAATATGCCTAGGGCAAAGACATAGGTTTAATTGAAGTGAGACTAGTAGGGCAATACATATTGTTGTAAGATTACCTACCTCATTTACTCGAGTATATTCTTTCGTAATTGCATTCATTCGCCTATACAATACCGGTATCCATAGTTATGATTTTCATTCTCAATCCTCATTCTCATTCTCTTTCTCATTCTCATTCTCATTCTCATTCAAAGTCCTAGACAATCAGAAACTTGACAGTACCCACAAATCATAAAGCTTATGTGCAACATAATTTGTATTAATTCTGGATCTAAACTACAGACTATTCATTATACTCCTCCATGCAATCATACCATCTACGTCATTTCATATGACATATGCTAGCCAGCCGTAAGTTGCAACAAAACGCCATCCGGTAATGTAAGTTTCCCTAATCATCGGCCAATTGTCTTCCTCGCTTGGCCGCATTATACAACTCCGATTTCGCGTCCACAAAGACATCCTCCATTTCGTTGACCTCGTCTCGACTGAGAGCAGTGATTTTAAGATCCTTGACTAGACTTAGCAGCCTCTCTTTGATATTTTGATATGTGGGAGCGGCTGAAAGAGATTCTGCTATTTCCTCTTGATCATTCGTGGGCTCTTGTGACACGAGTTCCATCTCCTCAGCTATTTGAGACTGTAATAATGTCTCTTCAACAATATCTATTTCTGATTGATCAAGTGGTGAGCTTGATCGTTCCCGTACTTCTGTTGCATCGACTGTCGTTTCGCCAATGACTTTATCTCTAGGAATTTCCGCAACAAGAGGGGAATTTGCAACGAAAGAAGAACTGGTGTCCATGATATCAGGCTCAGAAATAAGCTCTCCGAGACCACCCATGTTCACAGCATCATCGGGAATAGTTCTAGCCTGTGATGATCGGTCAATTCGTCGAGTAATTCGTTCGAATCGTCCGGATTGAGTAGTTTGAGGCGTAGAAACGCTTCGTATCATCGCGGGTTCTGGTGTCTTCGCTGGTCGATCCCTTCTCTTCTTTGAGGGAGGTACTGGTCGAACTGCGACGATTGTTAGAATTCAATCTAACTATAAAAGGAAAACTATGCTTACCATCACTCGGAATCTCTTGACTGTCAGGCACCGCACTCCCATTATCGATAATTTCATCAAATTTACGTTTCACCAAGGTATGATCTTCACCCTCGTTTTCGATTTTAATTTTGACCGGCGTACTATTTAGTCGAACTGGCTTCGGGCCCTTGCTTGTGTTCTTTGTATCGACTAGTTGGTACCCAACAGGAGGTGTTACAACGATAACAGAATCTGCATCAGAGTCATCTGCCGCACGTTCGTCACCGAGTTTTTGCATGAGCCGTGGGGCTGGAGTTTCAGGAATGAGAGATTGAATGGCTGATGATTGGGATACAGGACGAATAGGAGACTGAATTTGAGAGCCGGGGATTAAATCAGAGGCCCTGGCAAGGATATTATTGAGAGAAACAGTGGCGATCTCTGTCGATGCAGGTGCCCGATGGCCAAGTTCACCTCTATTTTCAGCCAACGTTCGATCCACAGATTTTGCTAGCCTGATGAAGCTAGATTCGTCTAGGTCGCTAAGAGGAGAAGAAACATTATTTGGGATGATTACCGCCTCTGATAAATTCAGTATCCGAGGTAGCAGTGCTCGTGGAGAAGATACAGCATCCTCAAATATCTCCTCATCGCCCGACATTTTATCCGAAAATATTAAACCTGGTTTAGCATCAAGGGTATATTTCTGAGTATTTGGCGCCGGTTGCATCGCCGATGCACGACGCTGACCCCGTCTTGGAGTTGATGGCAATACTGAACATTTGATCGTCTCAGCAACCTGAACCTCCCAAGCGTTACGAGCTCTGTGCTCACTGGCTGGTTGTTGGAGACTTAAATCTCTAGCCTGCTCTTCGCTACTAGTAAGTTCAATGGTAGCATCCAGATTTTCATCTCCACCCGAGTACCCAGGCGTGCTTCTGTACGTAGACATGGTTTGGGCAAGATCAAATGTATATTGATCTATGTGTGCAGAGGCATCTAGCGAACGATCGATGATTGCATCACCGTTGGAACTCTCTGGAAAGTCAGTAGGAAACGAGGTCTCATTAAATTCATCAGAAGAAGTGGGAGGCATCAAAGGACCTTTGGTCATTGATAAATCGGGCGGTAAAGATGATTGCTCGGACTGATTGAACCCTTTATTTTCAGTATACCGTGGCACATCGTTTCCTTTCTTAGGCTGGGGTGGAGAAGATGGGATTTCCCTATTATTAATTTTATGTATCGGTAGCAAAGACTTGTGTGAATCAGCCGCTGCAGCTTGTGGTGAAGAAGGGGGCCAGGAGAGATCTTCAGAAGTAAGTATACCGCGTGCTGGAGTTGGCGAGGAAGCAAGAAAAGCATCTCGGTTTTCGATGACTTGGGTATCCGGAGTACTCTGCCTTTCGCTATTGGCTGATATATCTGACCGTGGCTTTGAAGAAGAATGGTGCGAAGGTAATTCAAACTCGTCATCGACATTCTTGGGGGTTAGTTTTGAGCTCGGCCAAGGGCTATATCTGATATTTGAAAACATAGCTGCATCTTCAGCTTGTCGTTCTCTGACCTCCTTCTGCCGCTCCGTCAAAAGCTGTGAATCATATGCTGCTTCCGATAGGGGTGATGAGCCTGAAATTGCCTCGAATTGAATTTGAGAGTCATCATGTCGTAACTTAGCAACAGAGCTCTTCTTCCTCGACTTTCTTTTTCCAGGTTCCGGGGTTGTCTCACGAGATCTCTTCCGCGATACTGCCCCACTGACTTCAACCACAACTCGGGGGGATGATCCTATTGCTCGTTGTTTTGGGAGTTGAGTCATATTAGACGAAGAAGCTTTGGTCGAAACCTTTAGTAGATTGATACCACTGGTAACAATGACATCTGTCTGTGTATCAAGAAAAGCGGGAGGCTGCCTATGATTGTCGGAGATCTGATTATCTAAGCTTTCGGAGAATGAGCTTTCAGGAAATGATGGAAGATTCAGGTCAGCCATCGGAAGAAGTCTAGATATAACTTCTTTGACCATTGGAGGATAGTGCAAATCGCCTTTGAATGAACCAAATATGTCTGTGAACATCTCTATGGCCATATTTGCAATAGATGCATACCTGCTTCCCAAGCCAGAGCACAATAATGGTTCTAGGTCGTTCAGCAATTTTGGTATATCATTAGTAGTAGAAGTCAATAATGAGCAGATATTCGTCCAGAGAGAGTTAACCTGCATTAATCAGCCGTTGTGTTCAATGCATGAAGAAAGACCAACCTACGATTCGAGATAGAGTATTTCCACCATGCAGCTTTACCTCCTCGTCACGTATCCAGTAAACAATTCCTTTCTGAAGCTGAATCAAAGCTTCAGTGAAGAGTGCTTTTGGACATCGAATTAAAAGTGCTTCAAGTTCTCTAAGTAGGCCACATATGCTAGGGTGGTCATTTGATGAGAGCTCGGTATAAGAATGCTCCAAGCACCGAGATATATAGTCATAGAAATACGAATATGGATCGAGTATGTGAATTTTTGGGCCAGCGGTTGCACTTCCCCAAAGGCGCCTCCGAGCCGCATCTAAAGCTTGCCGGTCCTTTGGATAGGATGCTTGTGCAACCAGAATTCGACAGTATGTTGCCTCGTTACCACAACATTCTTTTTTCGGCCGCCATTTGGAGACCAGAGTTTTAGCTATTGGCTCAACAACAACGATAGCTCCGCCTCCATGTCCCGAATCGGTAGTGGCAGACGTTACCAAAGCTTGGAAAAGATCTTCCCATCCTTCCAAAGGTTCACCTGGTGACAACTCAATCCCAACGTCAAGAATCCTTGCAACACTGCGATATTCACCGCCAAGAGGACGTGCATCATGAATCGAGCTAGCCACAGCACTTTCATCGCGGAAATTGATCGCTAGTGTAGCAGAGTTTGCAAGAACCGTCCACAGAGCTCCGCTTGAATGAAAGTTGTCGATGGGAAGAATATCTAAAAGATCTTTGACGAGGTCCATTTTCCCCTTGCTCAAACGCCGTGCTTCAAAAAATGGCGTAAGTATGGCGTGGACCATTTCAAAGAACTTAGAATCATGTTCAGCACCATGAGAAGAGCTAGCAAGCAACAGGAACAGATGATGAATTGGAGATCTAATTTCGCCCTTTATCTTTCCAGGTCGATGTGAAGGGGTTGCGACGAAGACAAAGTGATCTTGTTGTCCCATGGATAGTAGCCTTTCGGTGAACGGCAGTACTCCCAAGCCAGATATGACAGTAGTGACAATAACTTGAAAGCTAGCAAAAAAGTTCGCTTTGTCTTTGCGATGAGGTGGCGGGGTATGCAAGCCGTCTGGTCCCTTTTGCCAGATTTTGTACAGTGTGCTGAATAGAAAAGCGAGGCATGCCATGGTATCACTTGAGGTTTTGACCTCTTTGACCGCTGCGGATGAAATTGAAGAAATGTAAGTCTCCCAAAGAAGCGATACCTTACTTTTGGGGGATGCAAAATCCCAATAGAGCAACTCCATGATTGGACTCAGAACTTCAAAGGCTCGAGGAGCAATTTTGCGTAGCCATCGAGAGTCAAGTGCTGGAAGCTCTGTGGCTGTGACAGCATCATCATTCATAGCTCTGGTTGGCGTCCATGATCGTTGAGCATGTGCGTCGAACAACCCACGAAGGATATCACATGCATCACTCAAATCCTGCTCAGCCGATGCCGGGTTTTCGACATAATCAATGGGGGTGAGTCTATTACCAATGAGCTGAACTATGTATGCATCCCAGAACATATCGAGTTGGGATGAGGTTGAATTCGGCTTCATCGAGTAGTACAATAAGTTACATATGCTGCTAAGGGTTGACTTGCGATATACGTTGTCGGAATCCGAGACTTTCCGAACGTCTTTTCTCTGAAGCTGTCCGATCAAAGGCTGACTGAGTGTATTCATCATGTTTGAAGTGACTTTCTCATCCAGACCGATCACAAACACCATGCGATTCCAAGCCAAATTTGTCGCCAGCCTTGTATTTTGGTCACTGGAGTTGAAACAGACCTTGATGATATCAAGCCATACTTTTGTGAAAGCCCAGTGCTCGAGTTGCTGAGGACGAGCACGGAGGAATAAGATGACGATGGCCCAAATACGAGGAGCAGGACCTGGGGGCTTTCTTGCGGCCATCTTTCGCAACTTATCGGCATAAAAGTTGGCATACTTGACTTCGCTTCCATCCGAGGCTTTAAAGATCTCCATAAATTTTGATGACACTTTGGTCTCCGTTCCGAGATCAAGGCCAGCCTCTTCACCAAACGCAATGGCGGCAGTCCGAATATTTGAATAACTACTGAGCATATCACTCAAAAGATCTTGGAGCCAGTCTAAGTTGGAGATCATATGAGATCTAGATTGCCTAAGAAATGTTCGGTAGACATTGATGCGCTCTTCTACAATGCTTTTACCTTGCACAAACTCCTCGACTTTATGTAGTGCGGATATCAGCTTCGCTACTCTCTCAGCAGTCATGATTCTTGCGGAAAACTTTTGTTGTGCAAGTATGAACATCAAATGTCTCGCGATCTCCTTTGACAGTCCAGGGTTTTCGAAAGTCCTCAAAGCATAGTCCACTATAAAGCCGTTGAAATCGGGGGTCAACATATCCGAGATGGACTTTTTATGGAGAAAGCTAGATGTGAGCACCAACGCTCCTTTCGCGAGTTGAATATCAAGAGCTCCAGATTCATGCTTGGCAACCAGATCCCGCCTTATGAATTGTAGTGTCAAATCCATCTTATCCGACAAAGCCTTCCTGTCCGGAACATTGTCGTAAGCCTTTAAGGCGCCTGATAAGATCGTGTATGCATCCAGCCTCGAGCTCCTGTCTTGTCCAGCCAATTGTTTTGATATTGATTCTAGCATTCTGGCGTCGAGTATCACAGAGTTCTGGGTTAATGTTTTGTCGTTACCTTTGGAAGGTTCGATGGTATTCATAGGATCAGACCCATGCTTTGTTTTCAAGATTGATTTGGTTGCTTTTCGTTCCGCTGATGGTGTCAACGGCGATATGCCCTGTGCAGATGGTATCTTTTTATCGGTGGCAGTTGTAGGAGGGTCTTTGTAGTCGTACTTTTCGGACCAGCCTACTTTCTTCCTGGTCGTCGATGGAGTGGTGGTGAGACCCGCAGATGAATCTGGAGTGATGAGTTTGGAATGTTGAGGAGATTTGTCTTTCGAGTTGAGGAAAAGACGATACCAGGGTTGCCGGGGCTCACTGTCGTCGAGTTCAGTAGGAGTAGGAGGTCTTGGCTCAAGATTAATTGTTTTAGCAGAGGCTGGCGATGGCGGTACCATGGCTGGAAGATCACAGCTATCGTGAAGATGAAATATAAACTGTACCGGAACCCATCTTCTTTTTACATGTGAAGAAAATAATGGAAATTGAAAAAGTTTTATGACGATTTGCAGATTGATTGCTCGATAACTCGCGTTATTGGAGAATATGACTTGATGAACCTAGCAGGAGGGCAGAAAACGCGACAAGTTTATAACTGCGCGTCAAAAACCACTTTAGCTTTTATTCACCGCTTTTGAAAGCTATATAGTGGTCCGTTCACACGATACCATACCGGGTTATTACCGGTATATCCCATATTACAGATAACGCCGACCTTGTGCCTTTGCTAAATGGCTTATTCTGATTTCATTTATTGTATCTCATCTTTTTGATGCCCTTACCTACAATCCCATAATTGCAACCAGTACTTTATATCACCCATAAACATAAACACAACCCCATGAATTACATGCTCCCCCCCCCTCAACTCATCGCAAACCCCCACCTCCCATCCACCCCCTTCTCATACCTCACCATAACCCTTCTCTTCTCATCCCTAAACGCCTTATTATCCGTCCCCCCACTAACACCATACAACGCATCCGCTATCGGCCTCAACAACAAGCTCATCCCTATATACGCATTATCCTGCACCAGCACCCGATTCGCCCACACGGCAATGCCAAAACACATCACAAACTGGACCATCGGTATCAAAAGCACAATCAACAGGAAAAAATAACTATGATTGATCGCAAGAGCAAACCCCGTATGAGGTTCATCCCCGGCATAGAAAGTCGAGGGGTTAAAAGCTGCAGCGCCAGAGATGGAACTTAGCCCGAAAGCAGCTATTTGATTCCCCATGGATGAGACGTTGCCACGCATAGGGGTTCCCCATATGGTTTTTTGCGGGTAAGATGTAGTTTCCTGGTACTCGTAGTTGGAATATCCCGTGTTGGCTATGGCGGAAGCGGCTGTATACGACATTTCGTCGCTGATGAATGAGATGTTACGCGGATCATTTTGCGTAGATCCAAGCGTGATGTTGCACCTGTAGTACCAGGGATCGGTATTCGAAGCTTCGAAAGCTTGGATAATGGAACAGCGGGGAATGTCGGGACAGGAGTTGGGCCAGTCGGTGAAGAAGGTGGTGCCGTTTGGAACGAAGGAGGATACAAAGACGGATCCGATGTCCTGGACGGTTATGTTGGAGGCTGAGCTGCCGTTGCCGTTGCCGGTTATTTGGTGGGATGAGCAGGAGTAGTGCATGTCGAGAGTTCGGTTCGTGTAGATGCCTAGGGCACCGATGTTTTGAGAGGAGATGGAGGAGTATTCGGTGAATACGAAGATCATTTTGTCATTTGGTTGGTCTGACCACACAGTATAATTCCCGGTTAAGCCTTGATAGATTTCTCCTTGTGATGGCAAATCGCTGACCGAGGTGCCTATTCCAAGGTTCCAAGCTAAGCCCCCGTATGCATGGGCGGTGTATTCTTCGTCTTCGCTTTGAGGTTTCGTGTTATTTCCTAAGGGGTAGAAATGTCCCATGTCCGGAATTGTGACGTTGCCTGGTGTGAATAAGTAACTTTCCGTGCTGGTATCGAAGCCATACGTTAAGCTGATGGCGGCGATGACTGTTTGTACGAACTACTGCTTGTTAATACAGTATTGTCTTCTAATTAGAGGTATAACAACCTACGAGATTGAAGATGAGCCACGAAATAGCCATGCCAAAAACTACCGGTCTTTTCGAAACGAAAGCTAATTTACCAATATCCATCAAACTATCGGAATGCAAAGTGAGATCGAGCTATAGCCCACCCCATTAGCGATTACTCTTAAACCAAGTTCGTGGTGCCTTTCACCTACTTCAATAAGATTCCTCTTTCTAGCGTGCAATATTGGCCAACGCGCATTTAAAGCCATATCCTTCAATGAACTCGCAATGTTGATTCCCAACGCAATACTAATCCCGGTAGTCAAAGCATTGAAAACTCTCTTCGAAGTTTCCGTCACGGTACCCTTCCGATTCCAGACTCGTAAAGCAAAAATGTAAGCAATGCATAAAACGAGTGTAATTAACCATCGCGCGAGACTTTTGAGTAAAATGTGCCAAAATTGCTTTCCAGTTTTCGATTTATATGGAAGGGTAGTGAATGATTGTTCGGGTTTGTGAAATGGCTTTCAAAATGTGAGTAATTTTGCTCATGGGGAAGTAAGGTTGCGGCGCTGGTTGAATTGGAAACATTGCTGGTGTTGTGGAGGGGTGGATCGGGGCGCAAAGGAGTCATAGGACTGTTCATTTCAATTTGCGGGGAGGAATGTATGGGATCGTAATTATGTGCCATCTTGTCCAAGTACCACGAGACGTCGTAGGTTTTATATCTTTCAATACTGCAAATTTGAGATCTTATTTTGGTGCAGAACTTTCGACGACCTTGTATTTAACCAAGCAGGTCATGTCTTAGCCTTAGGAACTACCCAAAGATAAGAAAAATGACGCGGCCGCAGAGCCGCTCCTTCGCTGCAGGAGATCTTTGGGAGGTCTGACATCTGATGTGATTGGCTATCTCGCGTGGGTTTCACACAATTGTGCAGGGGATTGTAGCTTCCAGCTGAAAATTTTGGGGGCGACTTTGCATGCCCAGACGCGACCGTCCGCTTTTTGTGAAATGTTCAACTAATCGCGGAAAATAATGCGAGTTTATCCTCTTGCGATTGGGTTATCGCGGTAATACAACCCACACAAATCTCCTGGTCTTCGGGGCTTTCATAAAAGACAGCGATCTTGAGGCACAGCTTGCTAATTATGTAATTCTTCCACGATTCATGTGAGAGACAAGCCATGTGTATCGAAGAGACTTCTACCGGGAAATTTGGGGGCCAAAAATCCTTCAAGTCATCCGGTATCTTCATTCTGTTGTTTGGTAAACTTGGTTTCGAGAATCGGAAATAAATTTAGCTAAAACGAGATCAAATCTGGGGCGACTTAGACTCTACACCTGTCCATTGGAGAGATGCCCTGAATCCTTCAAGCCTTGCTACCCCCACGTAGATACATTAGTGTTTCGGCTTGTTGGCATTTCAATTTGTTTATTTTTGGAGCATTCAAGCAGAAGCTCGTAATACCGCCTATTTACAGCAAAAGCACAAAGCTCCTGGCGAAATACCACGTGGTATTGCCTTCTCTAGCCTGGTCTTTCTTTGTGGTACCTCGAATTGAAGAAACCATATAGGCTTTTACTTCATTATTTGTCCATCAAAACCTCCACGCGCCGTCAGGGGACGTGCTGTATGGCGAATGTGAGATGATATCGTGACTCTGTACATTGTTAAAACGGCCAGAATTGACGTTCGTTTTCCTGGTTTCGACAGCAGCGATACATTGAGACCTATGTCGATGCATTTGTTTCTTCATCCACTTCAGAACTGCAAAGCTCAAACATCTCCGAGAACTTTCGATCTAGGCCATTCCAGCCATGTATCCCAATCTTTACCAAGACAAGTTCCGACCACATCTAACAGAAATTTCCCAGCACTACCAACCGCCCAATGTTTCCGAGACAAGTTCAGCAGGACACTAAAATACGCCAGTACAACCAATGCACCTGGCCTCCTCTTCAAGAGAAGCTCTGAATATTCCAGCGAGAGCGTGATCGGCCATGATGTAACCATTGTCGGACCAAGGTTGCCATTTCCAAGGTTAAATAGACTGGAAACATGCACCCACTTCAGTTGACGAACGGCTTCTTGTAACGCTTCGAGTTCTACATGGTCGATGCCAGGAATTCCGGGGAGCTTTGCTTGAAGTTCCAAGAAATGCTTCACATATTCGTCGGTGTGCTCCACATGTCCATCGCCATGCTGCATCAAACCCCGAATTTCAGACTTCTCCAAAACCTCCCACCACCCAGTGAAGCAAACCCGAACTCCACGCATCAATTTTATTGCTTGGACTAACTTGTCAATGAATTGATTCAAATCTGAATCGGCCACGGAGAATGTGTCCACGAAGGTATGATGTCCCAGGATCCCTGAATATAGAAAAGACGGAATGAGGTTTTCGTCGTTCACTTCTTGCACCGAATCATTGAACAGTTTCAGTGATTGTTGTTGTAGCATCCTCGATTCATCGTGATAAAATTGGAATTGATCAGGTCGAATGATGCTAATGTGTAACGCCGAGTAGGCTAGAAGTTCATACATGAGAAAAGGGGTCACAAACGCGTATTTGAGTACGTTAGTTCTGGAGCTTTGTGTTGTAAGGTTATCACCCCATATGAAACCTTGATTATCTTGAAAATGTTGGAACAACTCTAGGTGTGTAAAATTCACATATGACGAAGTCTCCGGGTGTAATGAGAACCCATGAGGTGTTTGTGAGTTGCTTTGAGTATTGGGTGGAGTGGTAGATGAATCTGGGGTCGTGACCGAGCTCGCGTTTGTGGTGGCAACTTTATAAGAGCATATGTTGTTTGCAGTTTTGCAATTCACACATATTGGATGAGATTCATCACACTATAAGAACAACACACAAAACATCAGCGGTAGATCTTCAAGGCTCCGATGATAAGAACGAGGAACGAGGAACGAGAGGTCGACTTTCTATCCATGTTCATCTACTCACCTTGATATGCCTCGATTTACATTGCAAACACCCTTTCCTCGACTTCTTATGGGATCGACGATTCATATTTGTTTCTTGATTCGCAATAAATTCAGTAAATCATCAATAAAATGTAAATTCTCTTCTGATATGGGAGTTTGTGTATGGTCGACTGTGGCTGTGTCAAAATTTGTATGGATGGTTTGTAGTTTGTATCAAAAGGTCAAAAGGCTACATACCCCACCTTGTCGGGTAATTTTCGGGGGACTTTCTATAATTAACTTTCTTTTTTTTTTTTTTTTTTTTCAACAAACAATTTGGGTATTTATTCATATGCTTATATTGGCTGTAGCTACGATGTTATTCCCATTTATATATATTGTGAACTGAATCATCTGTTCATTTTCAGTGATGAACTCCAGACTCCATATCACAAAATGCTCAGATACAACAACCCAAACCAGCAAGAACAAACCATCCAAATTCTTGTTTCCTTGTGCTCACCACATCGAATATTGCTCTCCAATTCCATAATACTTTCATCACTCACACCATACTACCAGCACCGAAAGGCTTCCCCTTGCGACCTTGCCTCTGTTCTGGATTGTTCATCAACTGAATACTGTGCGCCTCTTCTTCACTCCCTATCGAAGTGGTGGCTCCTGTACGGACTTGAAGGTGATATGGATGGTAAATAAAGAAAATGAGGGTGACGATGAACATTGGTACCGCATCGAATATGTACAGGGTCCACTCATGTTTCAGGGGGTATCCCGTCTGGCCCTCTGCATACTCGATAACTCGAAAGATTGATCGAACCATGATGAGAACACTCATGGCATAAAGAACATAGAGATAATGTATCCAGTTTGCTTTGACAATGAAAGACTCCGCCGTCGGTGCTTTCCTCATCCGGCGTTCGAAGATTAGGGCAGTGACGAAGAAGAAGCCGAAAGAAATGATCTGGATGAAGAGACCGGCCAAAACAACCTTTTCGCCCATCTTGACAGTGCTGGAATTGAACATCAAACTAGAAGAGCCTCCTTGCACCATAAATGAGAAGATATCCCCAATGACGAAAATTTTCGTGACCCAAGTGATCCTAATGAGGGAGTGGTGTTCGCCCTTGACATATCGCATGATTCGGCCAAGTGTCATATATATTGATGCTGAAAACAGGGCCGGAGCGAGAAGGGTGAAGGAGCTTTGAAAGACGTATGGTAGCAGTGTCCCGGTACTGTTGACAGCCTTTGCTCGTCCAATATATCCGACAACTTCGACTGAGAGAATCAGAATACGTTTCATTTCGGAAAGAGGTGATAAAAAACTTACAGATGCAACCTAATGCCATTGGTACGCAGAACCATGTCTTGGTCTTGAACATACGCCAAGAGTTGAGTCCGGTTGTTGCGATGAAGAGAATGATGAAGATTACAGCTGCTGCCATAGATGGGACATAATTCCAGAGGTAGTAATCTCCACTGTATGGCAGAAGTTCAGGCATTTTGAAGAAGTGAGAGTCGAACGGACGTGTGTGTACTTTGGTCGATATGAAGGTTTCCTACACCAAAACGGACGATCAAGAATTTTATGATGGAAGACGGGAGAGCTTCAGTTGAACTTCAAAGTCAAGCTCTGGGTCATCAAGAGGTTTTAACCTTAGCATCTTGGCTACCTACTGATACAATGATTTCCAATTTTGTTTACATCGTATCAAATACGCGTGTTCGAAGGTATCGCACCAGTGGTATACGTCGATATATTCAATCCATTTTCCACAACTCATGCCGGATCGCCCAAAGGGGTTAACTCGACCTTAAGAAGCCAAGGGGCCGTTGCATTCTCCGCAAAAATATGCAGGAGGATGAACCGAATACGCGTATTAATTACGGTTTTTAATGGAATTAAGGATCACCTAATACAAAATTGTATCAGATTTTTCCTTATGATGACCTTAAGCCCCGACGGTGTTTAATGCTATCGGGCTATGCTGTTAGCTATGCTTATCTTGCTAAAGCTTGTCCAACTCAAGATCAACCATCAAACGAGACGCCGACAGGTTAAGTTCGGCCGCTACGATTGAGACTACACGCGGGCTCTACAATCACCACAGCCGTTGGAGCCTCAAAGTAACCATAGCTTGTCGTAGCATCGAAATCTTTTGATGTGGAAAATTTGACGCGCGAGATTCTTACTCCGCTCTACCTACCCCAGGACTCAGAATAATCCCCGAAGGAAGTTAGATTGCAGAGTAAGTTTCCGGGTGTGAAAGTTTAGACTCTTGAGATTCTGAGGAAACTTCCAGTGACCCAGAATTTTTGGATATCAGAAGTCGCAGTTCTGGCCCTATTGCACACTGTCGACATGTTTTAAGTACAAAACTACATATTATGCACTCGCTATACTAAGTAGCAGCGAGATGTTTCTAGAACCTTGTCTATACCCTCGTTTTGAGACAACTTTGGACACTTGATACATTTCATTATTGTAGTTCGAATATCATAGTGGTTCAATGTCACAGACCCCGTAATTCGAAATCATAGTCAAGAGTCATGGTTCGAGGTTCGGTAAGGTCGTGATTCCGAAAAAGCAAAACATTTCATTATTTACATGCTATCTAAGCCCTTCTCTTTGAAGTGTTGAAATACATTAAACTATCATTCCAAAAGGTCACACCTGGATATGACTCTGCAACCCCCAAATATGGCCAGTGTCCAAAATTGCCCCAAAATATCATCGCATTATCGCTGAAACCAATACAAAAGCTCGACCAAAATAAAAAATTGGTCGTCAAAGCAACCCGCTAGGCCAAGACGCAAAGTTATCTGGCGTTATTCAAATGCATCATCAAAAACGCTTGCGCGCCGCTTGATCTTGCCGATGGAAGTTTCTTGTGTTCCTGAATATATTTTTGTTCCGCCACCTTTTTCTGTCTCGCTGACCGGTGATTTGGATCCGCCGCTGGAATGTCGGCGCCCTTCATGTGTCCTTCATGTCCTGGACACTTGTGAGTCGCCGCGATGGGTATAATGGCGCCATTTTTATCCCTTGAATCGTCCATGGATCTGTACTGGCAATTCTTGATGAGATCAGGGTCGTCTTGGGTGATTCCGAGAGCGATACAGGGTATTCCGAAGTAGGGTTCGTAGTTTGGACATGATTTATCGCACACGCAAGGCTTGGTACCATCGCCGCCACATGACTTATGTATAACATATAATTCCTTACACATGTTGGAAATGGAGGATTCTTCGGTTTTGGTTGTCTAGATCTCGGTCAGTCTTCAGTTGCGGACTCATCAGGATAGAATGATAAGTCATACCTTGGTTTGCTGTGAGTATATCACAATATATTTGAACAGTTAAGTGGTCCAAGATGCTGTCACTGGTTCGGTTTGTGGTATAGTTTATACACTTGGTGAAGTCTGGTAATGAGGAAATTTGTCTGATTTTGGTTGTCTGGATCTCGGTCAGTCTTCAGTTGCGGATTCATCAGGATAGAACGATAAGTCATACCTTGATGGTTTGCTGTGAGTATATCGCAATATATTTGAACAGTTAAGTGGTCCAAGATGCTGCTATTGTTTCGGTTTGTGGTATAGTTTATATACTTGGTGAAGTCTGGTAATGAGGAAATTTGTCTGAAGTTAAGCTCAATGATAATAGCTTTCGGCTTTGAGTAGATTCGTGTATCTGATTTCGTGTTTTCAAGTTGGGATATCTCTAATCAGAATGAGTTGTTATGGTAAACAAAGAGGCAAATTGCATGAGAGGAGAAGTAATTGTAAACAAACTCTACTCAACAAGCTAGTTTAGCTAGTAATTACAAAGCACATATGGCTTGGCATATATGTCATATCAAGAGGTGAAGTGAACATGGGACTTTTACACTAAAGTTCCGTTCTTCCACTACTAAGTCAAGGTATCCCGACTCAACCAGAACATATCCTCATCATTGCCAAGTTAGGACTACCTACAGTATACAGGTAGTTTTATGCAATGATTATGAAAGAAAGCGCGGGAATAAGCCCATGGATGAACACAAACTTCCTCTCTGCATATTTGAAGCTGTACCCACTTAAACCCCAATGGAAATATGCATATTCCGTGTTTCTAAATCGCGTTAATGATGATGATCATCGTAGTGCTGAGGATATAACTCCATCATGTGACGGTGTGGGAACGTCAGTAGTCTGGTGGCTCTACTGTGGTTCAAGCTAACATCATCGAATCCTCTACTCTTTTGGCCTAGGCTAAAGAACTCAAAGACCGATGGAGCATAGTTTGAAATTCTCGTGATCTCCCATCCTATTCTAGGCCTAGGATGTAACTCCTATACCCGATTAATTTTGCGAATATCCTCGTCCTGCCTAGTCTAACCATTTATTATTATGCAGATGAGAGGATGTAGTAGATATTATGCAAAATTTAATCCAAGTTCACAAAGATGTACGACAACAATAACTCTCATCTCATGAAAATCGTACAAGACATCACCATCTCCATCTTCTGTTCTATTCTATCTTGTTTACATCTTATCATAGACTTTTGAAGTTTTTCAAACTCTCTGTCCTATCCAACCTTTCAAATACTATCATCCTGTCTATTATTACCCGAAGAATAGATAGGATGAGAAATTTCAAATGTTGCGGTAGACTACTTTCAGCCTAGTCCGCCGCTGCGATGATAAGGTTCGGCTAACCCCTGAAAGTATCCCACTGCGAAAATGATCTCGGAACACAATAACGTCATTAACAAACTGGCTAACTTTGATAACTAAAATGTACTAGTAAGGAGAAACTTTTAAGTAATCGAAAACAGCCTCACTCGAATTTAACAAACGTATGGATATCATTGCATTGGAAACAAACCTTGATGTTTTTGCGGCGTTTGTTTTTCGTGCAAGCTGAGAGTAAACACGGGAGTTTTCTAATAAAGAAGTATACTCGAGTAGAGCGGAATTGATAAGTTATTAATACTAGTATACTTAGAAGAACACCGGAAAGGATTCATTTGCTGCTACTCATCAGTAAAGCTAATATAGTCTACTTCATTAGCCAATACGAGCGATTAGTTAATAAAATGTTCTTTCTATTAGTCAATTGGAAAGCGTTGTCCGAGTAACGATTTATTCAATCCTTCACAGTACTACAATCCACTCCTTTCTCTTCACGTGATGCCGCATCAAAGCGCATCGCACCATACAAGGCCTTCCTGCCCTCGAGAGTGGGAATAGCCTCATACAAAATAAATTACATACATTTGAACCATATGATATAGCCACATCACCACCGAGGTGATACCAACAGTATTCTATGAATCAATCGGGTCAATTATACAAAAATAATGATATATTATTATTTGCTATTTCTATCATAAGTCAAAGAGTTAAAGAATTAGATTATCTCGAAAATGATAATTATACTCTACTATCTTAATACAAATACTAATAGGACTTATTAACTTACTTACCTCTTGTTATCGTTATGAAAATAAATAAAAATACACTATTAATATTTTCATTACTATTTTTTTTTTTTATCATTTTCACTACCACTACTATTACTATTACCGTCACCAGTACTACTACTACTACTACTACTACTACTACTACTACGGATAAATCAAATCATTATTTCAGGACTTAAGGGGGTTTAACTCCAAAATCTATCAGTATCGTAAATAAATATATCTTCAATTTCATAATTTTATAAGAGGTGATCTGATTGATCAATCGAATGTTTTATTTGGAACCCCTTCTTATTTGATCAATTGAGTATCCTGTTGATCAATCGCTCGTGTTAATGAATTTGGCAGGACAAGAAGTTAAATCAATTGAAATAGTGCACTGGATAAACCAGCAGTTTGATAATATTCAAACAGCCAGTTGAGCCACAGCCTCTCAAAGTGCCAGTTTCCCGACTGATTCAAACTACTGAATACACTACTGCTTGGCGGATGGGGGAGATAATGAGGCCATTTTCTAGTCCATATCTTATTGTGCAGTCTCCAGATGCACCCGCGTACCTCGTGCTCTTTTAATGAACATGGCTGAGTTATGCTCATACATTGAAACCTACTGTTGGACTGTTCAATCTGTGAGGTTTGAGTTGGAGTACGCTAGGCCTGAAAAGGTTGAACAATTGGTTCACGACGATTGAACAAAGGATTTAGTCGAAGTTCGATAAAGGACCTGTACTTTTCCTTGATAAGGAAACAAAGTAGGAACAATCCTATTGGTAAATACAAATTCAGTGGATCAAATCATCAAACTAGTTGCTATTCATACAACCACAAATCATACAATCATATTACACACAGGTCGTCATTATACAATATCAAGATGTCTAAATTGCGTGTAACCAACCCAACAGAACCACCTCCAGAAGCCAATACTCGACTCACGTTTGGTGTCGAAATCGAATTTCTCTTAGCTACTGTAAAACCGGGAAATCCAAATCATAATCCAAACGATACTCGCGAGGTAGATGGAAAATATCTCCCAAGTGAAGATCCTATTAATTTTAATATTGCCGATAAGTTGACGAATGTAGGTATTCCAGCAGTAGTTGAGGAAGAGGACGTCCTCCACGAGCATTTACCTGACGAACAATACAGGACCTGTTGGATTTTAAAACCCGATTGCAGTGTTGGCGAATATAATCCATCTCCCGATCCGGAAGACTATGTTGAATATGGTTTAGAAATGTCATCTCCGCCATACTACTACGACGAAGCTTCACGAGAGGCCATTAGAACAGTTATAAAAACGCTCAGAAATAATTACTTGGTTCACGTTGATGATAGTGCAGGCTTGCATGTTCATGTTGGCAACGGATATTTTGGGCTTCAATGGCGCAAACTGCGTAATTTGGCAGCCATTGTATGGACCTACGAACAACACTTAGAATTAATTATGCCTGAAAAGCGGGTAGGTACAAAGTGGTGTCGAAGTTTATGGGAATGCAAGCTTCAAATGAATGATGTCGAACTCGCACGTCTTGAAGTTCTCAACCTTATCCTCTCGTTCACGGAAGGCACGAATATGGTCACGGAGTTAGAGGCATGGGACTCCATTAGCCGGCTTGGTTTTAACGTGCGGGGTCTCAGCACGCCTTTCATGGATAGTAAATGCACCGTCGAATTTCGTTACCATGCCGGTTCTCTTGATCCAGAAGCTATTCTCCACTGGGTACCTGTGTGTATCAAGATTGTTGAAAAAGCATGTCTCGTCAAGGACGAAGACGAAGACGAATTTTTTGAGCGACTTCGATCGGACGTCGAGAAGCCAATCGGATTTGATGAAAGGCATATTAGTACGATCGATTGTTTCATGTGGCTTGGCTGTCCTGCTCAAGCATACTATTATGGTGTGAAAATGATTGCTGATAAGACGAAAGTTGAACAGAGAATACAGAGAATGGCTGACGTTCCGAACACGTCGATGTTTCAGTCCCTGCAAAGGTAAGTTGTCTTATTTCGTCCTATTCCCCCAATATGCTGCTGGTCGACGCGTAAGGGTAAGTATAATAAAAACAACGGTAAATACCTGGAATAGCATCATTTTCAACTTTGATACCCGAAATAGCATACAAACTTTCTAATTAGGCCTGAATTAACATATTGTGTTATTTCAGTCGTTTTTTTTTTTTCAAAAAGTGTTATTTCAATTGTTTTTAAATAATGTGTTAATCTGGTTTCAAAAAAATAAAATAATACTATTCTGATCTCAAATAATTTATATGTTATTCTGGTCACAAAAATAAAAAGGTGCTATTCTGATCACAAAATTCATGTATTAATCTGGTCGCAGAAAAAAAAAAGGGTGCTATTCTGGTCTCAAAGTTGATTCGTTATTTTGGTGTAAGTAATAGCCCCATGTCCTCTCGTGAATAACACCATTTTCTTGCGACCAGATTAACACATAAATTTGTGACCAGAATAGCATCATTTCTGTTCCTGAGACCAGATTAACATATTTTATTTTGCAACCAGAATCACACAAAAGATTTAACCTGAAATAGTATATATCATACCTCGATTAGCACTTAGGCTATTTCGGGTATCAAAGTTCAAAATGATGCTATTCCAGGTATTTACCATAAAAACAATAAAAGGTAAGACATACGCATCTACTCTTTCTCGTCCCTTTCACGAATAGAGATCTTCGATTCAAAATTTTATCTCCAGATTCACTTTGAAATATTTGTGCACGATGCTGTGAAGAAAGTGAATTATATGAATAAGATGTTCTAACAATAGCATACTTGTTCCTGAATGTAGGAGGTCATCAAAGTCATCACCCAATGTATATCTAACAGTCACGACACAGTTTAGTTAAATCACACTGGTGCATGTTCAGTGAAGACGAATATGTGTAAAAGGTTCAAAATTATTTGCTCGATGCACCAGACAGACCAGGCAAAGATGAGATAAGCCTGAACCAATTTACAGAACTCCAACGCAAAGTAAACACGACGAGACGATGACCGGGATCACCACCGGTCCGTTGTCACCGTGTTGTCGATAACCCAAATTCCAGACGATTAGGAGGCTCCATGAGCGCTTGCATCCTCTCTCTTCTTCTTCTCTGCAGCCTCTCGAGCACTTGCCTCATCGAACTCCTTGTTTTCAGCCGCGGCTCGCTCTTCCCAGCAGTGTTCACATTGACTCCAAACATATTCTATATCATGATCCGTAGAAGTTCAAAAATATTTATCATGATGGCCTCCTCTCTTCGCATACTCGCACGGCTCCTTGTATGTGGATATTCTTCTACTCTGACCTGGTTGTTTGGGGTCACACCAGCAAAGTGCCATCATATTAATCGATTTACACATTGTAGAGGTGCTGTAAATTCTTACAATAAAAATTCGATTCTGAAAGATATCTTATAGACTTGGCGATGAGATAGAGATGAGAAGTAAAGTCGAGTGACTGCCGTAGTATAAGAAATGTAGATTTCGAGTGTCAGAGTAGTTGGTGATGCTGATCTGAAGTGATGAAGCCAAGTATTATTGTTTCTTAATGCAAGAATGTAGGTTTGTGGATTGTACGTTTGTGGACTTGTGGACTCGTGGTTGTTTTGTGGTTGAAACCATTACACTGTAGAGAATGAGTGGCTTTTATGTAGAATGGCTCAGTCGCACAAACACAGTCACACAGTCATTGTGATTTCTTGAGAATGGAGTCATTGTCTTGTTGAGAAACAACATTCATATCCTCCAACTTACCTCCATCTCATGCTATTGTTCCCTATCATATCCTCGTACTTTGAGCCCTAATTATTCATCACCACCTTGTACAATGAACAAGTGCTTATTCGTCGTTCCAAACCCAAACACTCAAGATCTGTTTCTCGAATTTGATGACAAAGTGCTGATTTGGTCATATTCGTAACATCTAGATTCATGGGTCTCTTTGTGTCGAACTCGTTATGAATAATCCGAATAATGGAGTGATATAGACAGTCATGACATGCGCAGTGGAGTAGTAAATGCTGTTACTCATAATACTAAATTACAAGCGGTACATGACAACAGTTGGACAAGAACTATCTTCCAATGTTTGGACATCCCAAATTGCCTTCCAGTGGAATAATATGCTATTTTCAATCCAGGCAAGAACGGGTGCTTTTGACTTCTAGCAACACGTCGAAATCAACTAGGTTAGATTCAATTATGAATGGCCAAAATTATATGTACAAAGGTCATGGCTTTGGAGGTGTAGTCAATGTTAGGCACTCGGATCTAAGCTCACAGGTTATCCACCCATGCATGAAAAGCTCAGCGAGTACTAGTAGCAGAGTCCTGGAGAAAACCGTTGAACCATGGATATCACCCGGTTCTTGCCCCCGGTTTATTATCCAGTGGTTATTTCGACTGCTAAGATGGGTAAGGATAACACCGGCCTAGATTTGGATAGATATAACAACCCCGCGGGCATTCTTAGTCTAAGATTCGTCGAGACCTCAGAATACCCCGCGGGCTCCTATCTCTGGGGTCGATTGAGAGTTATATTGTTACATATACTATAATACTATTTAGCATATTTTTTATTATATTAAGAAATTTGTATACCATACATAATATATGGTAAATACCTGGAATAGCATTATTTTGAACTTTGATACCCGAAATAGCCTAAGTGCTAATTGAGATACAACATATATTATTTCAGATTAAATCTTTTGTATTATTCTGATTACAAAATAAAATATATTAATCTAATCTCAAGAACAGAAATGATGCTATTCTGGTCACGAATTTATGTGTTAATCTGATTGCAAGAGAAAAAAAGGTGCTATTCCGGTCATAAAATTTATATGTATCGACAACGATACACTCGAGGACTTCGTGGCGGCTACATTCGACGATACCAGGGATACGGCTATTGCCTTTGTGGAGACGCTTTTGGAGAGAGCCAGGGATATGGCGGCTGTCTTCGTTTTGGGTGTATTGGAATTGGATGTCTAGGGCAAAAGGAGGGCGAAGGGGGGAAAAGGAGGGGGGGCTATACGAGAGGATATAAGAAAGGGGGGAGGGAAGGGGAGAGAGAGACTACACGAGAGGATATAAGGAGGGGGGAAGGGGGGCCACACGAGAGGATATAGGAAGGGGGGAAGGGAAGAGGCCATACGAGAGGACATGGGGAGGGGGGAAGGGGAGAGGCTATACGAGAGAATATAAGGCTATTACTTATATCAAAATAACGAATCAATTTTGAGATTAGAATTGTTGGAATATCACTAAGATCATAATAGGTATAACAGTAGTAATATTATATATGTGTATCCTTAGAGGTATTCAAGTGGGATTGGATATATATATAAATGTGTAAGATATATATATATAAACAATATCATATGAACTATATCATATGACCTTGTATAAGCCCAGACTGCACTTCTAACATTCCTCTATTAATTAGAATAATTAATCACAAAGTATTACCAGGCTATATACCTGAGTTCTATTCTTGATTGAATTCTAGAGTCTTATTAATTCTTATAATAGTAGATAGCATCGTAATATCTAATCTTCTATAGAATTCGATTATTCTATAATAAGTATATTGTAATATAAGAATATCCTAATTCCTTTAAAGTTTTTTGTTTCCTTAATCAAAAGTATTCTTTTAATATTCTATTCTGAGAAAAATAGTTTGTAAATAGTATTTGTAACTCTATTAAATAATTAGAGTTATTTCATTTGAATCAATCTTAAGCAACTAGTCCTAAATCCTTTAAATATTACTTGAATTTCGGTATAAACAAAGCCTTTGTTAGTATATCCATTATCTGATTTGCCCTAAAAATCTATAAGATTCGAAATTTATTATTATCAATTATATTATTATAAATGTAATATCAGCAAATAATGATATATCTAGTTTTGATATAAAACTTATTCTTTTATATCCAATCAATACCACTTTTGTTAT